AGATGGAGGGAGAGAAGGGCTGTTTTGTTTGGGGCAGGGCTCGGCGCATGGCAAAGAAGCCGGTGGAAAACGAGACGGAATAGAGGATTTCCGGAAGATATCTGCTGCTAGGGGGGTTCTGTCCAGCTGCAAAGGGAAGGGCGCTTTTGCCCCCGGGCAGGAAGAGATGGGCAAATGAGATATTTGTACCTGGGGGTGATGGAGGAGACCTTTGTTCCCGGAGAGAAATGGGGAAGAGACACCTTTGTCCCGGGGAGAGATGGGCGAGACCTTAATAATAATAATAATAATAATAATAATAATAATAATAATAATAATAATAAAAAATTTATACCCCGCCCATCTGGCTGAGTTTCCCCAGCCACTCTGGGCGGCTCCCAATCCAGTGTTAAAAACAATACAGCATTAAATATTAAAAACTTCCCTGAACAGGGCTGCCTTCAGATGTCTTTTGAAGATAAGATAGCTGCTTATTTCCTTCACATCTGATGGGAGGGCGTTACACAGGGCAGGTGCCACCACCGAGAAGGCCCTCTGCCTGGTTCCCTGTAACCTCACTTCTCACAGTGAGGGAACCGCCAGAAGGCCCTCGGAGCTGGACCTCAGTGTCTGGGCTGAACGATGGAGGTGGAGATGCTCCTTCAGGTATACAGGACCGAGGCCATTTAGGGCTTTAAAGGTCAGCACCAACACTTTGAATTGTGCTCGGAAACGTCCTGGGAGCCAATGTAGGTCTTTCGAGACCGGTGTTATGTGATCTCGGCGGCCGCTTCCAGTCACAAGTCTAGCTGCCGCATTCTGGATTACTTGCAGTTTCCGGGTCACCTTTTAGAAGACATCTCAAGGCAACCCTGTTTAGGGAAGCTTTTAATGTTTAATAGACTATTGTATTTTAATATTCTGTTGGAAGCCGCCCAGAATGGCTGGGAAAAAATAATAATAATAATAAATAATAATAATAATAATAATAATAATAATAATAATAATAATAATAATAATAATAATAATAATAATAATTTGCGCCCAGGGAGAAAGGGGCAACAGAGTCCTTTGTCTCTCTGGGGATAGACAGCGGTACCTTGGTATGCTGCATGTGTGGGGCGTCGTTGTGGTGGGGAGTCCTGGGCTGTGTTGCGGACAAGGCTTTGGGGACTGAATTTGCCCTTACAAGTGGTCTTAACCCTGACCATTAGGTCCAGCCGTGTCCGACTCTGGGGTTGCGGCGCTCATCTCGCTTTACTGGCCGAGGGAGCCGGCGTACAGCTTCCAGGTCATGTGGCCAGCGTGACTAAGAGCAGCGCACGGAAACGCCGTTTACCTTCCCGCTGGAGCGGTACCTATTTATCTACTTGCACTTTGACGTGCTTTTGAACTGCTAGGTTGGCAGGAGCAGGGACCGAGCAACGGGAGCTCACCCCGTCAGACAGAGCTGCCGGGAAGTGTGTGCGAGAGACGCCGCTTGTTCCAGACGCCGCTCCCTCCTCTGGGTATATTTATTTGTGAGATAAGTCTCATCTGAAGGCCACCTCCTTCGCTCCCCCAGAGCATCTTTCGTTGCCGGGCTAATCTCTGTTGCCACGGCAACGACATCCTCAGCACCCTCCTCCCTGCTCCCTGAGCATTATAAATTACGGCTAAGTGGCTTCCTTGGCGGAGAGGGAGAAGGGGCTGGATGGCTTCTGCTCTGGTGGGGGTGGAAAGATGAGAGAGAGAGCGCATTTTGACATGTCCAAATCTCGGCCTTGTCAGGAGTTTTCCATTCCCTCTGGAATTCAACCGCGGGAAGAAGATCTGAAAGGGATGGGTGTGTTTTTGTCTCAGCAGCGGCGTCTGGTGGCCATGTGGCCCACATCACTCAGCACGTCAGAATTTGAACCCAGGACCAAAGTGGAAGAAGCAAAGATCGCCAGTGTCGAAGCGACATCAACTTCATCGGACCGGTCATGTTGTGTGGATACCCGCTGAAGCAACTCCTCTATTCCCAACTTAAAAATGGAAAGCGTAATGCTGGCGGTCAACAAAAGAGGTTCAAAGACTCTCTCAAGGCAAATCGTAAAAAATGTAGTATAAACACCGTCAATTGGGAAACACTGGCCTGCGAGGGCTCCACTTGGAGAACAGCCTTGACCAAAGGTGTCGTGGGCTTTGAAGACACTCGAACTCAGGACACAAGGGAGAAACGCGCTAAGAGGAAGGCACGCTTGGCCACACCGGGATCAACTCCCGCCCGGAAACCAATGTCCCCACCGTGTAAGGACGTAGGGATCCAGAATTGGCCTTCACTGTCGCTTACGGACTCACTGTTAAGACCGTGTTTTGGAAGACAATCGTACATGTTTGATGCATTACGGTATTTTAATATTTTGTTGGAAGCCTCTCAGAGTGGCTGGGGAAGCCCAGCCAGATGGGCGGGGTATAAATAATAAATTATTATTATTATTATTATTATTACTCGGCTACAAGGGATCGCCAAAGATAGCAGGCAAGAATTCGGCCCGCACAACGCCACCGGCTAAAGGAAGGAACTACACAAGTTGACCAAACGAATTTCCATAGGGACAAAGGCCAGGTTCTGCACTTAGGCAGGAAGAACCAGAGGCACAAGTATAGGATGCGGGACACCGGGCTTATTAGCAGGACATGCAAAAAAGGATCTGGGGATCTTGGTGGACCACAAACTGAACGTGAGCCAAGCCTGTGATGCAGCAGCAAAAAAAGCGAACGCTATTCAAGGCTGCATCCACAGAAGTCTAGTGTCCAGATCAAGGGAAGTTATGTTGTTGTTGTTGAGTCGTTTAGTCATGTCCGCCTCTTTGTGACCCCCTGGACCAGAGCACGCCAGGCCCTCCTGTCTTCCACTGCCTCCCGCAGTTTGGTCAAACTCATGCTGGTGGCTTCGAGAACACTGTCCCACCATCTCGTCCTCCGTCGTCCCCTTCTCCTTGTGCCCTCCATCTTTCCCAGCATCAGGGTCTTTTCCAGGGAGTCTTCTCTTCTCCTGAGGTGGCCAAAGTCTTGGAGCCTCAGCTTCAGGATCTGTCCTTCCAGTCAGCACTCAGGGCTGATTTCCTTCCAAATGGAGAGGTTTCATCTTCTTGCAGTCCATGGGACTCTCAAGAGTCTCCTCCAGCACCAGAATTCAAAAGCATCCATTCTTCGGCGATCAGCCTTCTTGATGGTCCAGCTCTCACTTCCATACATCACTACTGGGAAAACCAGAGCTTGAACTATACGGACCTTTGTTGGCAAGGGGGTGTCTCTGCTTTTTAAGATGCTGTCTATTCTGCCTTGGTCAGGCCACAACCGGAATCCTGTGTCCAGTTCTGGGCAGCACAATTTAAGATGGATGTTGAGAAGCTGGAAGGTGAGCAGAGGAGAGAGACCGAGATGATCAAGGGCAAGGCTCAGCAAACTTTTTCTATCTGGTGTGTGTGTGTGTGTGTGTGCAAAAATATAATCCCTTTTTCTCTCTAGCAATCTCCCTACCCGGTTAATTAACATCTTACTAATGATGTAAGCGGCTGTCTCCCAGGGGTGTGTGTGTGTGTGTGTGTGTGTGTGTGTGTGTGTGCTTTTTCGGCTAAAAAGACTACATCTCTTGAACTGGGAAAAGTTTTTCCCACCTTCATTTTAAGGGTGCAGGAGGAGGTTATTTTTTCGAGCTTCCTGGTGCAGAAGGCTTTCGCCGCTACTCGAACACAGGACAACGTAGGAAGCGGCGAACAACACACGGAGGAGGAAGTTTAGCTACAAAAATGTGGAGAATAGGGACGAGGGAGGGAAGGGGGGGGTCAGATGCAGGAAGGAAGTGGTCGTTTGATGTCTGCCTGCTGTGTCCGGTTCATTGTATTTGAGCCCGCACAACAGAAATACAAACCCCTCCCCGAGTCTTCCTTGGCCCCACCCAGGATGGTGGGGCTTTGTGCGGTGGAGAAAAGAAAAAAAAACAGCTTTTATTTCAGTAATAAAAACATGAGAGTCTGCTAGATTGGAGCAACAGCCAGTGCCAGATTTACGTATAAGCTAAAGAAGCTATAGCCTAGGGCCACACTCTCTTGGGCCCCCCCAAAAAAAAATTAAGGGGGGGAAAACCTGGATGTGAACATTTCCAAAATATGATCTATTGATCTATCATCTATCGATCTATTTATGCCAGTGTCGGATTTACATATAAGCTAAACAAGCTCTAGCTTAGGGCCCCACTCTCTTGGGTGCCCCCAAAAAAATTTAAAGGGGGGGGACTGGATGTACATTTGAAAAATACAAGATAAAAAACAAATAAAATAAGACCTACATCTAGCAACAGTCTTTTGTGTTGTGTGGGCTCCTCTGGTGTAAGTCATGGGCCCCGCCTGCTCCCTAAAATATCCCTGCTTTGCTCCTTTCTATATATAGGGTGCCGACATTCTGCTCTTTATAATTATTAGTAGTTTGCATCATATATTTACACCGCTTGTTGATAAAACCCATATCATCTGATAAAACCCGTATTTTGTGATGTGCAAATGGCTTGTGATACCTATGAGGTCCATAAATGACCATATAGCACATATTCAACACAAAAAACAGCGACAATTTGTTGTGGACAGCTGGACATATAAAGGGCCCCGTTACCTTCAGGACCTGAGGGCCGCATCAAATCTAAATACAGCACTGACCCTTCTACATGGAGGCGGAAGGATCGACTGCTCCTGCCAACCTAGCAGTTCAAAAGCACGTCAAAGTGCAAGTAGATAAATAGGTACCGCTCTGGCGGGAAGGTAAACGGCGTTTCCGTGCGCTGCTCTGGTTCGCCAGAAGCGGCTTAGTCCTGCTGGCCACATGACCCGGAAGGTGTACGCCGGCTTCCTCGGCCAGTAAAGCGAGATGAGCGCCGCAACCCCAGAGTCGGCCACGACTGGACCTAATGGTCAGGGGTCCCTTTACCCTTTACCTTTATGTGTCCCTAGAAGTCTGAGTTCCTGCGTCTTCTTAAGTCTTCCTCTTGTCTTTCTCTCCAGGATCATCGACACGAGTACAATTCAGCAGGAGAGACTGCAGGCCATAGCGGTAAGTCCTTGATTTTGCATCCTAATAAAAGATCACCGTCATAATAATTTCTTATTTATACCCCGCCATATGGCTGGGTTTCCCCAGCCACTCTGGGCAGCTCCCATCAGAATATTAAAAACGCGATAAAATATCAAACATTAAAAAGCATCTCCAAAAAGGGCTGCCTTCAGATGTCTTCTAAAAGTCAGATACGGAGGTCCAGCTGACCTTGGAAGCCTTAAATGACCCAGTAGACCGGAAGGTGCATCTCCACCCCGGACACCGGGGTCCCTCTCCCGAGGGCCTTCTGGTGGCTCCCTCCCTGCGAGAAGTGAGGTTACAGGGAAGCAGGCAGAGGGCCTTCTCGGTGGTGGCGCCCTCCCTTCAGATGTCAAGGAAATAAACAACTATCTGACTTTTAGAAGACATCTGAGGGCAGCCCTGTTTGGGGAAGCTTTTAATGTTTAACAGACTATTATATTTTAATATTTTGTTGGAAGCCACCCAGAGTGGCTGGGGAAACCCAGACAGACGGGCGGGGTATAAATAATGCATTATTATTATTAAATAATTATAGTTGTTTATTTCCTTGACATCCGGTGGGAGGGCGTTCCACAGGGCGGGTGCCACCACCAAGAAGGCCCTCTGCCTGGTTCCCTGTAACCTCACTTCTCGCAGGGAGGGAACCGCCAGAAGGCTCCAACCATCTTGCTGTCCGCTGAACAACCTGGCCGCTGAATTCTGCACCGTCTGAAGTTTCCGATCCGTCTTCAGAGGCAGCCCTACGTAGAATGCATTGCATTAATTTAACCTGGAGGTTACTAGAGCATAGACGACGGGAGTTAGGCTATCCCTGTCCAGATAGGGAAATTTGCACAAAACTGCTGGCAAATTTTTGTAAGGACTTTTTATTTTTTTACAAAATTGCAAATTGATGTGGAAATGAAGAGAACTCCATTTAATACTGGTGGCGGGAGAAAGAATGAGAAACTGAAATTGGCCATTTCCTAGTTCCTGGTTAGTCAGAACGCAAGGATGCTTAACTCTGCATTGATGTTGTTGTTGAGTCGTTTAGTCGTGTCCGAGTCTTCGTGACCCCCTGGACCAGAGCACGCCAGGCCCTCCTGTCTTCCACTGCCTCCCGCAGTTTGGTCAGACTCATGCTGGTAGCTTCGAGAACACTGTCCCACCATCTTGTCCTCTGTCGTCCCCTTCTCCTTGTGCCCTCCATCTTTCCCAACATCAGGGTCTTTTCCAGGGAGTCTTCTCTTCTCATGAGGTGGCCAAAGTCTTGGAGCCTCAGCTTCAGGATCTGTCCTTCCAGTCAGCACTCAGGGCTGATTTCCTTCAGAATGGAGAGGTTGGATCTTCTTGCAGCCCATGGGACTCTCAAGAGTCTCCTCCAGCACCAGAATTCAAAAGCATCCATTCTTCGGCGATCAGCCTTTTTGATGGTCCAGCTCTCACTTCCATACATCACTACTGGGAAAACCATAGCTTGAACTATACGGACCTGTGGATTGATAGGACATGCCTAAACAAAGATCTCAGGCTTGTGTCAAGATTCATTTGGTGCTATTGTCCCCATCCCTATTATTATTCTTTTAAATTATTACCTGCGCTTCACCTGGATTTCCCCAGGCAGGTTGCGGCCATTGAAAAAGCATTCAGAACTGTTTGGAAACTTGCAGGATGAAACGCAATTGCTAAATATAACCCGGGTCTGTGTTAAAGTGGTGTGTCTTCGCCATTCACCCAAAACTGCACCCCCTTCTGTGGGGAGTTGGCAGGTTAGGGCTTGCGACCGGGAACACCCTCTCCTGGCCCGCTGCCATCCGGAAGGGCGAGGGTGCGAGAATCGACTCCTTTTCACATTCATTTTGGCACATAGGTGAAGAACCAGACTCTGAGAACTGCCAGGCAGTCACTTCAAGGCCGCAGACCCACCAAGTGCCCCTATTTTCCAGTCTCAGGTTTACAGAAGACGTCCCGGTTTCTGATTTGATCCCAGAACGTCCCACTATTCCTTAGGCCAGGAGCCCCTCTTTTCAGGGGAGAAACGTTGGAGGGGACGGAATATGACATCCCTATTTTCAGGGGAGAAACGTTGGAGGGGTTGGAATAGGACGTCCCTCTTTTCAGGGGAGAAACGTTGGAGGGGACGGAATAGGACATCCCTATTTTCAGGGGAGAAACGTTGGAGGGGATGGAATAGGACGTCCCTCTTTTCAGGGGAGAAACGTTGGAGGGGATGGAATAGGACGTCCCTCTTTTCAGGGGAGAAACGTTGGAGGGGATGGAATAGGACGTCCCTATTTTCATGGGAGAAACGTTGGAGGGGATGGAATAGGACGTCCCTATTTTCATGGGAGAAACGTTGGAGGGGATGGAATAGGACGTCCCTATTTTCATGGGAGAAACGTTGGAGGGGATGGAATAGGATGTCCCTATTTTCACCGGAGATATGTTGGATGGTATGCTAAAGGCGGGGTGGGAAGAGAAATGGACAGGGGACCTGGTGTTCAGTGGGCCGCCCCCATGACGGTGCCCCCGTTTCTCGGATTTGTCCCTGGGGCGAAAATGCCATTTATCTGACCGATGAGCTCAGTTCCTTCCTTGGGAGGGAGGAGGGTGAAAGCAAGAAAGCTCGCTATCTCCCGGCCTGTTCTGCATCTTCCGAAACCCGGGTTGTAACCTTGAGAGAGAGCTACAAATGTGGAGCTCTCCCCTCAGCTCAAATGCTCCTCTCGCTGAGACAATGGCATCCTTTTTCTGCTCCCTGACATAAGCCCTTTTCTTCTCTGCCTTTAGAAGCCGGCGAAGCTACAACATCAGCCGGATGCCAGCGCTGCGCGGCAGGGGTCCCCCGGTAACCCGCTTCCTCCCCGAGCCGCGAGGATGGGGGTTGGAGGGGGCAGCCAAATTTGGGGAGGCCGCAAGGAACGCGTCGACCTTTCCCCGCCATTTGGCACCGCCAATTCGGACAGAGCTGGGCAAACGGAGGTCTTTGGACCCCCAACAAACGTGCCAATCGGGTACCCTTTCAAGAACGCCGCATTCTCGGGCAGCTGAGCTTGGGAGGCTGGCAGGGGCCGGCGCCAGGGCTTGGCAGGACCGTTCCCCTGGCACACACCTCGCCACGGGGGCCGCCGAATCTCCCGCGATGGGGAGGTAGGCCCCCGCTGAGAGAAGCAACCCCTTGGAGGTGGCCTTCAAGCTCTGGGGGCCTCCGAAACCTACAGCGAGCGCTGGCCACCTGCCCAAATCTTCTTCCTCGTCTTTTGGGAGAGCGCAACAAACTGCGTCTCGTTTCATCCCCCCCCCAAATTTTATTGGGGGGCCATACTCTCCAGCATTTCTCCCCTGAAAATAGGGACATCGTATTCCATCCCCTCCAATGTTTCTCCCCTGAAAATAGGAACATCGTATTCCATCCCCTCCAATGTTTCTCCCCTGAAAATAGGGACGTCCTATTCCATCCCCTCCAACGTTTCTCCCCTGAAAATAGAGACGTCCTAAGGAAAAGCAGGACATTCCAGGATCAGATCAGAAACTAGGACAGCTTCTGTACATCCGGGACTGTCCCTGGGAAATAGGGACACTCGGAGGGTCTGGAATCTACCGGCAAAGGGGCATCATTGGGGTCTTTTGCCTCCTGCCCCTTTCTCTCCCCCCCCCGTAATGACGCCCCTGTTTTCATCGGGGAAACGTTGGAAGGTATGCAATGCAGGGAGCCCAAAGCCAAGCGTCTCGACTGGCCCCGGTTTCCCGGAAAATAAATCACCGCTCGCGATTCATGACACCCCCCTCTTTTGGCACTGGGCACCCGTGGCTGAAGGCTGTTCCCCCTCCGCCGTTCGCAGTACGCCATGTTCCTGTCCTCTCCAAATCACCCATCCTGTACAGATCTCACAACAAAGAACATTTATGTCGGCTTTAAGGCTAGGAAGGGAAAGCACACACACACACACACACACACACACACACACACACCACAATTGTCCTGTAATGATCTGTTATCAACAGCTCAGGACGATGGAGTTTTGCACCCCGCTGGGCATGTGATGGGGGGCTGCCCAATCGCCGCAGGATGCCCTGAGGTCCACACGAGCACATTTAGAGACACGGGGAGGCCGAGGCTGCGTCTTACGGCTTTTTAACATGTGTTTGTGGGAAGGGGGCACCCTGTCTAGTTCAGGGTTGTCTGAGCGGCAGCTTGCCCCGAGTTACAGACTCACGGTCCTTTCCCAAACTTTCCCGGTGAGGCCAGGAACTGAGAGTTTCCGCCTGCCAAAGCAGACACCCAGTGGCTGAGCTACAAGATCCTAGTCCTCATGGTGGGTTTAAAATCGGCGTGTCTGAATGGTCCTGAACGGTGTAACCCTGCCCCTGTTGCTCCTTCAAGTGGTCAAACACGGACCGGAGTGAGTCGTACAGGATGGTGGGGATGAAGATGTCGGCGTCGCTCTCGTCCTTCTCGTAATTCTCCAGAACCTGTAGAAGATGGGAAGTTAGTTGGTGTGGGGGACTCCCTGGTCCTGAATGGGGCGACTGTGCCCCCGAAGGACCAGGTGCGCAGCCTGGGGGTCATTTTGGACTCACAGCTGTCCATGGAGGCACAGGTCAGTTCTGTTTCCAGGGCAGCTCCATCTGGGACGCAGGATGAGACCCTCCTTGCCCGCAGAGTGTCTGGCCAGAGTGGTGCATGCTCCGGTTATCTCCCGCTTGGACTACTGCCATGCACTCTCCGTGGGGCTGCCTTCGAAGGTGACCCGGAAACTACAACTAATCTAGAATGTGGCAGCTAGACTGGGGACTGGGAGTGGAGACCACATAACACCGGTCCTGAAAGTCCTACATTGGACATTTCCGGGCACAATTCAAAGTGTTGGTGCTGACCTTGAAAGCCCTAAACGGCCCAGTAGACCTGAAGGAGCATCTCCACCCCAGACACTGAGGTCCAGCACCGATGGCCTTCTGGCGGTTCCCTCCCTGCAAGAAGTGAGGTTACAGGGAAC